CGGGGCTGTTTATAAGTTGCTGCGTGGAAACCTCCGGGGATGTTGAGGGGAGGGGACAGAGGTGGGGAGCAGAGTTGGGGCTGCGTGTCCTGGCCAGCCTGGGCAGGCGCGGGGTGTCCGAGTGGAACGCATCTCCGCAGGGCAGCGCCCGGGCCGCCCAGGCTGGCCTCCCCACCGCGGGCTTCCTCCTCACAGGTGCTGGCCTTGGGCCCTGGGGCTCCTGCCCGCTGATGTGCCCGGCCCATACCCCTTCCCCACCATGCCACCCACCATCACGGCCTTCCAGGCCGCCTACATCAGCATCGAGGTGCTCATCGCTCTGGTCTCTGTGCCCGGCAACGTGCTGGTGATCTGGGCGGTCAAGGTGAACCAGGCTCTGCGGGATGCCACCTTCTGCTTCATTGTGTCCCTGGCGGTGGCTGACGTGGCCGTGGGCGCGCTGGTCATCCCGCTGGCCATCCTCATCAACATCGGGCCACAGACGTACTTCTACACCTGCCTCATGGTGGCGTGCCCTGTCCTCATCCTCACTCAGAGCTCCATCCTGGCTCTGCTGGCCATTGCTGTGGACCGCTACCTCCGCGTCAAGATCCCGCTCAGGTGAGTCGTGAGCAGCCCCAGGTACCTGCCCTGGTCGTCCTGGCTGGTTCCAGTGCCAGCTAGAGAGGCTTAACGGTAGCACATCAGACCTGAGGCAGACAGGTGTTCTCTGGCCATCATGCCTCCGCCTCACTCTGCCTTTCTGGGCTCTGTGCCCTGGTGCCAGTCAGAGCTGCTGCTGGAGAAGCAGAAGGGGGCTGGGTGGATGGAGAACTGGGCTCTGACGGTGTCCAGGACCTCAGCCCCAAGCTGCTGCAGCCAAGACACCAGAGCTGCCTGTTGGGCTCCGAGTGAAGGTGGAGCCTTGGGGGAGCCACCCACACAGGGTGGTAGTGAGTGCTGGGTGGGGTCAGGTGGCGCTCTATCAGTCCCAGGGACAAGACCAGGGGCTGCGATCTCTGGGGAGGGGTGAGGATGGCACACTAGGGCCAGGGGGCGGCTGCTTTTTCAGCCAGACCAGGCAGACACCCTTTAGCTGGCTTGTTCTCCAGGTGTCCCTCTGCCAGCCAGCTCCACTCTGAGGCTGTCCCGCAGAGCCTAGCCTGCTGACTACCGCTGCCCAGCTCCCTCTTAGGTGATCTGTATTAGCAGCAGGGTGGAAAATGCCGGGGCCTGTGCCTCATTCTCGGGTATGTTGCAAACCTGTCTCAGCTGGCCACAATAGAGGAGCTTGCTTCTCTCTAGGCAATCATAGGGTGGGAGGCCTGATGGTGGCTCTTCTCAGTGTGGGTGTCCCTCTTTACTGGGGCTCCCTGCCCGGGCCTGGCAGGCCAGACTCTCGTCACCAGGCAGTGCCTGGGCCGCTAAAGTGCCAGCAAGTGCCTGGGCACGCTGCCAGGAGCTAGCCCTGGGACACTCCGGTGAGAGTGCCTGCCTTCTCTTTACATTCTTGTCACTAGTAGATTCTTTTTCCAGTGGGGAGCTCTGACCATCTCTCGCACCTGCCATCTCATCCCAGTACAGCGTCCTAGCTTCGGTATCTGGGACGTGGTACGTCTGGTCTCACTTGGCAGCTTGCCTCCGCCGGCCTAGGTACTCCCGTCCTTCCTGTGGTCACATGGGTGCATGTGTAACTTTTCCCAGCCTCTCTTTGTGCCTCTTTTCCCTTCATGGGCCTGTAGTCTCAGGCCTTGCTTGGCCCCACAGTTGAAGTGGTCTCCGTCTATCAGATGGGCTGGGGCTCAGAGCTCCACCATCATAAGCATAGCCATACTGGGAACATAGGAGGATGGGCAGATGGAGGAATGTTTCTCTAGAAATTCTGCCTGCTGAGTGAGTGCCAAAGAGAACCAGAGGCCCTGTCCCGATGTGACAGAGGTCACAGATGCAGAATGCACCCTCAGTGCCCTGGGGGATGGGGACAGAAAAGGCCGTGCTGGGAAGAACTGCAGGCTCCCTCATCCAGGAGGCGATTATTTTGGGAGTTTGGGGATCTAAGGGGGTGTCTTTGAGGGCCAAGGCCAGGACTCAGGTTGTGTCTTGGCTTGAATCCTTGCTACCAATTCCTAGCTGTGTGGTCTTGGAAAAGTCACGGTTTTAACCTCTTTAAATTTTAATTTCCTTATCTATAAAAAGAGGACATTAATAATAATATAACTGGCTGGGACAGTATTATACCTGATATATTTTATGCAGGCCCTAAGAGGTAGGGTTATGTTAGTCTTATAATTATTATTATTATTACGCTCAAAATAGGACTGGATATACAAGCCCTGTCTCCCCTTGACCCAAACAGTCATGTTCTTCTACGGACATATAGACATATGCACATGCACATGCACAGATGAATGCACACAGGCACACACTCTGATACAAGCACATTACAAGGAGGTGTCCAAGCCCTGGGAAGTTCTACCTGTACATGTTTCTTTCCCCTGGTGGACTGTTGGTGCCTCAAAGGTGATGGCCACATCTTATCTGCCTCTCTAGTGTCCAGATTGTCCAGCTCAGTGTCTATCTAACCCTGCCACTCAGTAAGCATTGCTTGAAACATTGTTTTAGAGCCCTCAGATGAGTCAGGTGTCCAGCCTCTAGCTTTCTTGCTGTTGACTAGACCTGTCCTTCATTCTACCCCAGGCCCCTGTCCACAGTACCGTGCAGCTCAGTGTGGCTCTTTTACCAGTGTGCCTGCCAGCACCTCGCCCTGTGGAAAGGAGCTTTGCTCCTTAATTAGATGCCTAGCTCCTCAAGCAGGAGTCCTGGTCACTCAAGGCCCTGGCCTGTCACTGCCCAGGAACCCTGTAGGAGGAACAGCATGCTCTCCCTCCTCCCCCACCCCCAGGCATCTGGAGTCAGTGGTAGGCTGGGTCTGTGACCCACAGGCTCCTGGCTCCCTGCCCTGTTATACTAGTCAAAGATCCGTGTGGCCCTGGGCTCAGAGAGCAACCACTAGGCATTGGTGAGGCGTGCTGGGCATCTGGACACAGGGGTCACCTGGGTCCTGGCCAAACCTGGTATGGAGGTATGGAATGGTTAGTCAACCACAGATTTTATTTCCTTCTACCTGGCAGGAAGCCAAGAACGAAAATAGATTCATATCATGCAAGTGTGATCCACTTGTAAACTTAAAAAGGTTCAAATGGTTGATTCAGCAAGGAGTGACAATTACACATAATTTGTATATTATTTGCATAGTCCTTCCCCATGCTTGGTAACTGTAATCTTATTCCTCTCACTCCTAGTTCTATGGACTCCTCATCTTTCACACACACACACACACACACACACACACACACACACACACACACACACACACACACACACACACACCCTCCCCACCCAGAGCTCCAGAGCTTTCTTGGCGGCAGTCTTTGGTAATTTGCTGTCCACTCTAGGGATCTTTTGTCCAAAGCCTCTGTGGAAGAGACCCAGCAAGGATTGCTCATGGCAAGGATGGGTTGGAGTGACGTGAAGGTGTGGTGGGTATTTGGGAGTTAGTCAGATCTGAGTTTGGAACTTGCCCTGTTACGAGCTGGCTGTGCAACTTTGGACAGTTAGTCAACCTCCCGGAGTGTTTTCCCTCTGCCGTATGTGAAGGGGTTAGAGTGTAAGTCAAGACGGCTCCTTTTGGCTCTAAACGCTTTGTAGCACTTCCTTGATTCCTGCCAGTGCTGTCTTGGGATCCTGGCAGGGTTTTGTGTTATGTTTTTCAGCTCTTAGTGATTATGTGCTGGATGCAATACTACTATAAAAATATATATATATTTAAATTTATTTATATTTAAAATATGTTAAAATTATCTTTTGTGTGTGTGTGTGGGTACTGGTGGGGCTTGACCTTAGGGCCTGGGTACTGTCCCTTAGCTTTTTCTCTCAAGGCTGGCACTCTACCTATTGAGCTGCAGCTCCACTTCTGGCTTTTCTTTGCTGGTTAGAGATAAGAGTCTTACAGACTTTCTTTCTGAGGCTGACTTCTAACTGTGATCTTCAGATTTCAACCCCCCGAGTAGAGGTAGGAGCCACCTGCCCCACTATTTTATCTCATGCAATGTATACCTGGTGGTAGTAGAGTTTATTATTCCCACTATATAGATAAGGCTTAGGGAAACTCGGGTCTGAGGCTCAGAAGTTTAGTAATTTGCCTAGACAAGCCACTTGTTTAGAGCCGTCAGGTTTGACTCCAGGACCTGTAACCAGACACCTTTAACTTATATGCCCTGGTGAGTCTTGCATCAGCCCAGGCAGCTGTAGGATTTCTGCAAGTTTCCTAAAGCCGTCACTGCCTCTGCCATCTGCTCAGCCCACACTTGGCACCTCCCCCCACCTTCACCTCACTGGGCAGTGCAGCCCCTGGCAAGCCCTGCCTTTGCCCACAGCTGGAGTCCTGCCCTACCAGGCTGCTGACCCAGAGAGGCATGGTGTGGGGTGGGGAAGGGCTGATGTGCTGGGCTGAGCTAGGTCAGGGAAATAAATAGGGTAGATTAGGGTGTTTGGTTATTTATTTATTATACCAGTATTGGGGCTCAAACTCGGGGCCTGGGCGCTCTCCCTTTGTTTTTGTTGTTGTTTTTTGCTTAAGACTGGTACGTTACTTCTTGAGCCATAGCTCCACTTCGAACTTTTCACTGATTAATTGGAAATAAGGGTCTCACAGCCTTTCTTGCCCAGGCTGACTTTGAACTACCATTCTTAGATCTCAGTCTCCTGAGGAGCTAGGATTTTTATGCAAGCCCCTGGAGCTTGGCTGAGTGTTTGCTTTTAGGCTACTGTAAGCCTCTCCATGCTGGGCTTTTCTTGACAGTCAAAGTGTCCTGTGTAGTGTATGTGTGGTCTCTGGGTGCAAGGACAGTCATTCCGCTTCCAGGAGAGGTGACTGTCTCCAGAACCTCTGTCTAAGGGTGCACCAGTTATAGGTTGAGGCAGAAGAGCAGCAGGACGAAGCCTTGAGCCAACCCCTCCTGCTTGAAGACTGGTGAGGAAACAGAGGCTCAGGAGGCTGGGAGATTCTCAAAGGAAGGTCACACGTGGCTGGGAGCTCTGCTTCTCCCAATGTAGATTCTTACCCTTACCTCTAAAGCCAATAGCTGGAGCAGGAAGAGCCACTACCAACTGCTGGGGGCTGAAAAAAGAAAATTTCCATCTCAGGTGGTTCAGTGAGCAAATCGGTGGACTTGGAAGGGCTGGGATGGAGGGCATGTTGGAATGAAAAAACATCTTTTCGGTTTGAGTTGGGGCATCATCTGTGGGGACTGGGCTTAGGACCAGGCTGAGCCTGGGTATGTGGCCTTGGGGAGCAGAGGTGTGTGGATGCATTTCAGAGGTGTTGGGATGGCTTCAAGGAAGCCTCAGTGTGTGTGTGTGTGTGTGTGTGTGTGTGTGTGTGTGTGTGTGTGTGTGTGTGTGTGGAGGGGTGGGGGTGGACAATCTGGCCAGATGTGAGCTGTTTGGAAGCAGGCAATGATGGATTTGAGGACTTAAGAGTCTCTTTCAATCTTAGGGCTCTGGGCTGCTGCTGCTTCCTAATATTTGGTGTTTATTTCTGAGCAGAAAAGCAATCCAGG